AAGGCCCCAAAGCAAGCCCCCCAAAGACTCCAACCTTTAGTTACTGAGCTTCGGTACCAATTACTCTACTAGCCTCCCTAGTCTCTTTTTTTCCTTCCTTTTTTTTTATTGTTGACAGTATTACAGATGGCCATCAATCTCACACACACACACACTCACACTTAACCCATTCCCCCCAAGTCCCTGGCCCACCCGAGGCTTTCACCATACTATTGTCTGTGTCCATTGGTCATGCCTACATGTATGTAAGTTCTTCGGTTAATCTCTTTCCATTGTCCCACCCCCTGAGATATAGCAGCCTGGTCCATGCATCCATGTCTCTGGGCCTGTTTTGTTTGTCAGTTTATCCTAGTCTCTTTTTAACCCTTTCTTCTAAGACACAATCTCCATCATGCAATGCAGTTATGCATTTGACATTCTTTTCTTCCCATAATTGTCCCAACTACCTTTCAAGCAACTTGCCTCCAGCCAAGAAAAGAATCTCCATTCAGACAACACTTTAAAAATTTTTGAGAACTAAAATTAATTATTTCCTAAGTTCAATTTGGCAAGGCTGATGATATTAGCTAAATTACAGGTTGTTTACACTAAGCTTGACGACAGACCAAGCAGTGGCTGATCTCAATGATACTCTGCTTCTGGGCTATATAACATGAGCAATTTCCCTGGTGGGTGAGTCCAAAGCCAATCAGAAGTGTTAAAAAATAAAAACAAGTCACTGAGTGAGCTGTAAAAAGTTCCTATAATGGTATAGGGAGTGCAGTGTACTTTGTGAACTCAAAAAGTACCTGTGGCCCTGGCCAGTGTATATCACTGATTAGCGCACTGGCCTGTGCACCAGAGGGTGGTGGGTTCAACTCTGATCAAAGGCATGTACCTGGGCTGCAGGTTCGATCCCCTCCACCCCCCTCACTCTCATTGGGACACATACGGGAAGAAACCAATCAATGTGTCTCTCCCACACTGATGTTCTTCTCTCCTTTTCTCCTAGTCTCTTTTTAACCCTTTCTTCTAAGACAGCTGCTCCACTCCTCTCCCCTCTCCTCCCCTTCCCTTCTCTCCCTCTCTTTCTTCTCCCTCTCCCTCCTCCTCTCTTCCACTCTCTATCTAAAATATCAATGAAAAAAATGTCCTCACTCCTTGAGTGAGGATTTAGAAAAAAAGAAAGGAAAGTACACATGGACTCAAAGCGCCAGTGCTTGTATTTCCAGGAATGGAAGAAGAACGCAGAGGAAGCATTCCACCCTGCTTCCGTGATGGCGTCACCTTCTGATAGTACAGACTCATTCAATGCTGAACACGCAGCTCAGCAGCAACCGACAGGAGTCCACAGACTGCAATCATCTTACTAGCATGGTGTGTTATACCTGCAAGTTTTAGAAAATGGGATAGTTGCCAACATAAAAATCAAAGGAGTTCTCATAAAAATCTGAATTAAATTCAGGTCTGGAAACCCTGGGCCTGTATCCCCACGTGGCAACAATCAACTGTCATCGAGAAGTGGCTCTTGCTTAGATGGAGGCTGAATTCTTCATGTGGCCACAGCCCCCCTCCCTCCGCCCCTCCCCAGTTGCCTGGCTCTGCAGGCACTCGAATCTGTGGCCAGTTAGCTTATCAAAGGGTGATGATTTGAGTAATTCAAGTGTAGTTCTTCATCTGTTTTGAGCTTTGCTTGCTAGAGCTTATGGCCAAGAAAGATTAGGTGATACCCAAGACCAGTCCTGAAATACTGAAAGATAACGAACTGTACTCAAGCCACATCAGTCTCAGGAGAAGAAGAGAAATCCCTTCAACAGTGAGCTTGAGGGTAGGGGTCTTCTCTCCTTGGATGCAGGTACTGCCATTAGGCTCCCACCCATAATTTCCTATGTGCAGAATTCTCATACACTTAATGTGGGTGTAACTAGCAGGAACCTTGGAGAGTTCTCGAGCCCTTGGAGGTAAGAAAGCTTTAGAACAATTCAGGTCCTTTGTTTCTCTCAGGAAGGAGGCTTTACAAGAAGACTTACAGAGAAACAGCCTCAGGATGCACAATCAAGTCTGCCACGGCTGAGGAATTCCGCTGTATTTCTGTCATTCTTCGATGCATATTCTTTTACTATGTGGTATGTCTGACCTGAGGTCACATGAATATTTTTCCTGTAGTATTTCTTTACGCCAACCCCCAGAAAAGCTATCCTTATATCAACAGTGGATCTTAAACTTGATGAGATCCTAGAATGGAGAACTATTATTTGGTTTTAAGTTACTGTTCATGGAATGTCACCAGGACAGATAGGAGTAATGCTTCCTAGTTGGGAGTCCACTAGAAGGCAAGGCTCTATGGCCAAAATTCAAGAGAAATATAGACAATGGAAACAGACAAAGGATCCAGATAGTGTAGTTGTTTGACATTGCTTAAAAATAATTATACTGAATATGTTCAGGAAAATAAAAGGTAAAATTTCAGTAGAAAACGGAAAACCTTGAAAAATAACCAATGGACAAATCTAGAACTGATAAGTTACAACAATAGAAATGAAAAACTCAGTGAAGGAGTTTAATAGAAAATCAGATACAGCTTAAGAGTATGAATAAACTAAAAGATAACTTTAAAAAATCAGAATAAAGCTCAAGGTAGAAAAGGTGAAGTATGTACAGAAAAAGTAAGGGACACGGGGCGCACATTGAGAAGGTTAATAAATACATGTAATTGGCATACCAGAAGGAGAAGGAAGAAAGAATGGAACAAAAACAATATGTAAAGAGAGAATATCTGAAAAATATAAAGCAGATGAAAGACATCAACCTACAGATTTACTGGTACAAAGCCCAAAGCCAGATAAACATGAAGAAAGCCACACACAGACATAATACATAAAACTGTTAAAAACTAAAAACAAAAGGAAAAAATTTTAAACAGCCAAAAGTAGAAAAGGAGGCTGGAAAAACATACTTGAATATAATTACTCTCATTATCTCTAGCTTATAACTTTAAAAATGAGTTTTCCTTCCTTAGACTTTTTTCCAAGTTTTATAATCAGAAAAATGTAACCCGAAACGTTTGTTATTCGTTTTGTTGTTATTTCTTTTTGTTGTTGTTTGTTTTAAGTATCAGGGCAAATGGTTTGGCTCCAGACCTTCCTTTTGTTTCCATATTCTCTCCACCCCATGCAAATCTCTTATTATAGAGTAATCCAACTTTGCATGAACTCAAATTTAAAAGAGTTTTGTTTCCAGATGCTGGTGAAAAAAAGAATGGCCTCCAGGATCAGCTAAATACAGGTTCAAATAATCATTTGGTTCCCCAGTGTCCAGAACAAGTACACAGTAAGTACTCAATAAATATTTGTTGGTGGATGGGATAGAATAAAATTTATTCATATTTCCATTTAATGCACAAAGGTGTGGGAAAATTACTTAATATTTCCAAGCCCTGCGTTTCTCATCTGTAAAACTGAATAATACCATTTATCTGTCTGGGCTGGTTTAAGGAGTAATTGAACTAGCACATAATCTCCTTTTCCCTTGTTTACCTTTATTTACAAGGCTTCGAACAGCTTTAAAAACCAATTCCCCAAATTCATACACATTAAAGAAAAATCCACAAAGAAATCTAAAAGCCTGTGGTTGGCCCTATTGGAGTAACAGGCAATATTCCACTGTATTTTCTGGCCTCTTGGTAATGGCTACCCGTGATGGGCTTCCAGACCTGGGTCCAGTGTGTCGACTAGGGCTTCTGGGTACCAACCATGGTCTCTGTACCGTCATCTCTTTTAATACTGCACAACAAAGCCTTAAAATTAGAATCCTGTATCAAACGTCCAGGGGACATTATTCTCTCTTCTCTCTCACTTGTTTTCAAAGCTGGTCATCCTCCTAGGATGCTTTGAAGATAATTCTAAGACTTCCTCCATCCATTCTCTTCTCTCCTGTTGGGTTCATAGACCATCAATATCTCATCAGAGCATCTCCCCAGGGTTAGATTTCAAAACAAACTCTACCGCCAACCCCTGCCAGCCCTACAGGTTCTCCTTTTAGAAACCTTTGTATCTCCCCATTAAATAGATTCATGGTCCTTTTCTATTTGATTTTTCAAGGCTTTGTGTTTCATTTCTCCTCAGAGGGATGGGTGTTTCCAGACAAAGTCAAATGAGAATTTAAAACATCTGCTTCTCTGGTCTGAAGGAGCATCAAGCTCCTGCCTTGCTAAGTAAAAATAGTCCATGATGAATAATAAATAGCCCACTGCCCCATTACTTTTGTGACTCACCCCAGGGACACA